GTAAGGAAGACGGTGGAGACCCTCTTCTTCCGAGACAACAAGAGGAAAATCGACTTCATTTTGGTCTACAAGGACGAGGAAGACGACGAGAAGATCGAGAGGAGAAAAGTCTTCGAGGACAACCTCCGTGAAGAAGGACTCGAGCTCGAGACGGAGGATAAGAAGGTAATTCTAGCAAAAAAAAAAAAAAAAAAAAAAAAAAAAAAAAAAAAAAAAAAGAGAGAGAGAGAGAGAGAGAGAGAAAGGAAAGAGAGAAAGGATGGATGGCAGAATGAAAAAAAAAGAAAGAGGAGAAAAAAGGAAAAAAGAGAGGAAGATAGAAAAGAAAAGAAAAGAAAAAAGAAGAATGAAAAGTAAAAAAAAAAAAATCAGTTAACACGACCTTTCTCACTTCCCTTCTTTCTTAAAATCTTTATGTGTTTGTATAATTCAATCAAAACTACCAAAGGAAGGGTGGGACAGGTAGGGAGGGAGGGAAGGGATGGGGGGGGGGGTGTCTCCTTGCCTGTTGAAACATGCAGAAGATGCACGGTCGATCCCCGGAGATATTACTTTGGTATGGCCGTCGATGTGAGGGCCTCGGGGTGTGCGGCCTTGGGTTCTTTGTGTTGTGGCTTCCTTGGAGTGGTGGCTACGGTGTGACAGTGGTTGTATGCCGGCCTTCCCTGCCGCTGGGTCAGGTTATTGTTATGATTATCTTCGTTATCTTCTATCATTATTCGTCATTATCATCTTTATCATCATCATCAACATCAACAGTATCAATATCATCAATAATCATCATCAATATCATCATCGTCATCGTATTATCATCACATCATCATCATCAACATCAAGATCATCATCATGAACAGCATCATCAACATCGTCACATCACATCATCGCCACTACCCCCACCGCCGCCACCATCATATTCATCATCACCACCATTATCATATTCATCATCACATTCATCACCACCGCCCTCATCAATCGCCCCCATCCTATCTCTGCCCCGGTGATAACGAGGGCAGTCCGTCTAAAGATAGCGCAGCGGAATCCCTCGTGAGAAATCCCCCTGATTGGAAGGCTTGCAACATTCACAATCTTGCATTCTTCCACGCGCCGACGCCTCACGCAACACGGGAATCACTCATGGAATATCTCATGTTCACGGATTTCCTTGTTCCAGATTTCCTTCATCAACATTCACGCAATTTGACTGACCTCCTTGCTCCTCTCCCCAGCCATTTCGGGGTCTCAGGCTTACTTCAAGATCCTCCGGTTTTTATTAACTTTCTCGTCCTTTCTCAGACAGTCACTAGCTGTCCTTTCTTACTTCAAGATCCACGCATTTCCACTAATTCCCTTGTCCTTCCCTCGCAAGATGCCCATACTTGCATCAAGATCCACGCAATTCGATTGATCTCCTTGTCCCTCTCCCCAGCCATTGCAAGGTTTCAAGCTTACTTCAAGATCCATCAATTCTTATGAACTGCCTTGTCCCTCCCTGTAGCAATCGCAAGATGTCCATACTTACTTCATCAAGATCCACGCATTTCCACTGACTCCCTTGTCCCTCGCAAAAAGGCCGTACGTACTTCGTCAAGATCAGATTTTCACTGACTCTCCTTTGTCCCTCCCTCCAACAATCGCAAAAATTTCCATCTTTACTTCATCAGTTCCACGCATTTCCACTGACCCCTTGTCCCTCCCCCCAGCAATCGCAAGATGTCCATCCTTCATCATAATCTTCAGGTTTTCACTGAATTCCTTGTCCCTTCTTCAAGTAATCACAAGATGGCCATACTTACTTCATCAACATCCACGCATCTTCACAAACTTACTCCATCAACATCCACGCATCTTCGCAAACTTACCCCATCAAGACCCACGGCGCTTCCACTGACCCTTGTCCCTCCCCCCAGCAATCGCAAGATTTCCATCCTTACTCCATCAGATTTTCACTAAATTCCTTGTCCCTCGCGTCTCCGCTGACCCCCTTGTCCCTCCCCCAGCAATCGCAAGACGGCCAGACGTACTTCGTCAAGATCCACGCGCCCTGGGACCTTCTGGTGCGATACGCCGAGATCATGAAACTCAAGAAGCCGATCAAGGTAACGGAATGCACGTCTCTGTCTCCTGGTTCGTGGTAGAGAAGCGGTGGTGGAGTGTTGTGGTGGAGTGTTGTGGTGGAGTGGCTGTAGGGTCCGGCGGCATGAGAATCCTTTTTGGTGTGTTTGCTTTTCTCTCTAGAAAGATGGCTTGATGCTTAGAGTAGTGTAGAGATAACTAGGGATTTTTAAAAAACTCGTTCAAGGATTTTGTTCTTTTGATTTTTCTGTAGTTATATCTGCTAGTTAGATATGTATCATATGTCTTATTTAATTGATGTTATCGAATGTAATCAATCTCTGTAGGTGACTTATGTAGCGATATCAACTTTTTTCTCTCAAAAGCTTTAATTGGGGTCAAGAGTCAGACGATAACTAAAAATCATTCATGAGTGAAGATAGCGCGG